CATTTATCGGCAAATGGTATATTCTAAGAGCATAATGACGTGAAAAACCTTGTTTGTAATGAACACTATGATATATACTGCGATAACAATTTTTAAAGATTATACACAAGAATAGTTTAACAAGAATAATTATTAATAAAATAGAACAATTATAAAAGCGAAGAAAAGTTTCGGTCGTACCGTAGATCACATTAGGCACAATAAGTGACTAATAACAATAACTAATAATAAAATAAGGCAATTCTAAAAATATACTTTAATAAAAGTTATGTAGAGAAAATGAAAACGGAAAGAACACATATATTTAATATCAGAAAGAGATAGTTGAAATATCTAGGGCACAAAATACGGAAAGAGGGCTTGGAAAATTTGACACTCACAGGACGTATTGAAACTAAGAAGGACAGAGGAAAAGACCACATGACCTATCCAATGAGCTTGTGTAAATGTATGGCGGAAGAGGATTTAGGAGATAACAAAAAGAAACAAAGATTTACTAGATTGAGAGATAAATAGATAGGCAGATAAACAAAGAACAGAAGACACGACAAAAAGACAAAATTTCTCTCTCTCTCTTTCTCTCTCTCTCTCTCTCTCTCTATATATATATATATATATATATATATATATATATATATATCAATATTTTTTTATGTTTTATACGTTCTTTTATAGATACAAATATTTAAGTAAATGTTCTGTTTATAATAAGCAGTATTAAGAATTCAGCCCGGTAAATGTCGTTAATACTGTTTATTATAAACAAACATTTACTTAAATATTTGTAATTATAAAAAGAACGTATAAACATAAAAAATGTCTTGAAATAATTATCGGAATTTGTCCATTTCATAATATATATATATATATATATATATATATATATATATATATATATATATATATATATATATATATATATATATATATATATATATATATATATATATATATATATATATGTCTGTGTGTTAAATAAGTTAAATAAGGAGATATGAGCATCCATATATGCGAGATATTACGTATATATACAGATGAGCAAAAGAAATATTTATTTAATTTTTGGTGTAGACAAAACAGTGTTCATTGTAGCTAAACAGAGCTATAAAGTATATATTAATAATTATATATATACTTAAGTTTGCAGTACGAAAAAACACAACCATATTGAATAGTTCATAACACACTGCGAACGTAGGTATATGTGTAATTATTAATATTGTTGCAGGCAGGGAGTAACGTCGAGTGTTTCTTGGGAGAAACACGGGTCTCCTGAAATAGTCACAACAAAAATGACGGACTCGGTATGTGAGTCCACGTGAATAAATTAAAAGAAACAGTAAGAACCGATATATGTACAAACAAATGATAATGTATTAACAAAATAGTTATACAAGTGACAAAGACAATGATCTATGCAACAGAAGAATGCGAAAACCTTTTTAGTCCAAAGGATGTGAAGCGAGAGAATGTGCCCATGTACGTATGTTTGTGTGCGTGGTTTCTTTATGCATTTCCCAATGGGAAATGCGTTTTCCCGCGAGAGACTTACATGTTGACGTGTAAGCGGAAAAAGTAAGAAGAGGCTACGAAAAATTATCGCAGAGTACTTAGAATACGGGAGAGCGTCCCCTGGTAGCGGTTTCAGGAAAGTAGGTGGTGTTAAACACACAATAATGATCCCGTCAGGGATATCCCTCTCTCTCTCTCCTCTATATATATATATATATATATATATATATATATATGAAGAATATAGCACATCTTAAGACTTTATTTCATATATATATATATATATATATATATATATATGAAGAAATATAGTTTTAAGATGTGCTATATTTATGGAATAAAGTGCTCAATATCAGAGATAGAGTGCGTGTAAATATAATTGCGTCTAGCATGAAACAGACTGTCGCCTCTAAATGTTGACTTTTATGTTCACTTATATTATATATATATATATATATATATATATATATATATATATATATAAGGCATAAGAAACTGTGGAGATCCATGATCGCCAACATCTTGAAGGAACATAGAAGAAGAAATAAATATGACTAAAGACATAACAAAAAGACAGAATTTATTAAGAGTTACAAAGGGCAGGAAATTGTGGAGAACCCTGATCGTCAACGTCCTGAAGGAACAGGGCACCTAGATGAAGAAGATGGATAGAAAATCCGTTCTCACCATAAATCTTATCAAACTCTGTATAAGATTTTTGTTCTTATTAAGTCGATAACTTTCATCATTGCAGTTAAATACGGTACTTTATCGATTCTATTTGGCATATACAAATTGCCAACGCCACTATTCCTCCGCTTTGGGACCATTTTTACTCAGATTTCAGGAATTATTTATTTTTAGGATTATGAGGCCTGCAAATGAAACATGGCACAGCGAAACAGAAATAAAATGGAGGATTTTTTTTTTCATTTATTTTTTGTAAATATTTTCTACAAGCCAATGTTGTTCTTTTTTTTTTACATTTATTTTATTTTTACGTCGTGAAACTTTGCGAAAAGTTATTTTCTTCGATACCTTGGGGTGAGTAGGAAAAACGAAAGAAATTGGAACGTCCTATCTACAATGTATATGGACTTGTTCATAAAATTTCAACATGCGTTTGTTTACACCGAACAGCTAATTAGTCCGTTTTTATTAAATGTAAGTCACGAGTCAACGCCGGGCGTATTTACAAACGCTTATTTTAGATGTTCATTCATCGTGGGTCAATGCGCCCCAGCTGGTAATATTACGAAAGCGAAAAGAAAGTCTTTTTCTGACGTCAGTTAAAGAAAGAAAAAAAAACGACAATAGAGAATTGATGCTGACAGCCGTTTAAGTGGGTGTGGCAGACGTAAGAAGGCGTATATCGACACAGTAGTTACTTATCTTCATTTGTTTCCCTACGAACAAATAAAAAATTCTCAATTTCCACAATCGCTTTTTCCTTGCCCATCTCTGCTTAGTAAAACCCGTTAGGAAGGAATTCTCTTAGCGATTCACTATTGGAATCAGTTTGTTTCAAGTTCCATAAAGACACCGTCCGCGGTATGACGATAAACTACATCCGGCAGCAAGGTTTTGAGGAGTGTGGAACCACCTCTTCATTGCTGTTGTTCCCAGGTCCACACTGACTCGGGGTGGTAGCACCTGTTAGGGTTCAAGCTCTGGGCAAATAGTGACCCCATCCCAAACTGTGGTCAAAACACCATGAAGGTATAAAAATACATTTTTATAGTAAAAATATTAGCAACAGATTTTAATAGTAAAAAAATATAGCAATATATTTTAATAGTAAAAAAATACAGCAATATATTTTAATAGTAAAAAATATAGCAATATATTTTAATAGTAAAAAATATAGCAATATATTTTAATAGTAAAAAAATACAGCAATATATTTTAATAGTAAAAAATATAGCAATATATTTTAATAGTAAAAAATATAGCAATATATTTTAATAGTAAAAAATATAGCAATATATTTAATAGTAAAAAATATTGCAATATATTTTAATAGTAAAAAATATAGTAAAAATATATTTTAATAGTAAAAAATATAGCAATATATTTTAATAATAAAAATATAGCAATATATTTTAATAGTAAAAAAAAATACAGCAATAAATTTTAATAATAAAAAAAAAATAAAAATACCAAATCTCCTAAGAAAAATTAAATTTCGGTATTAAATGACCCATAAGGAGCTGATATGCCGTGCTGTTAAACAAACAAACCAATCCACGAAGACGGACAGACCAACAGATAAATAAATAACGTTTCGGCTAATTACTCACAGACAATCAGGTGTCTATTATTTTTAAGGGGTATCTTATAAATTCCCAACACTATATATATATATATATATATATATATATATATATATATATATATATATATATAGTGTTGGGAAACAAATATTCGTAATACACACAAATTTTTAACTTATTGCATTTCCAACAAATGAATAAACATACTTTTCATAAAATAAACTGTACACCGATGCATAATAACTAAGTATGCATAAAAACCAGAAACAAATTTGATTTAATAGAAATAAATTTAAAAGGTTAAAGATAACCCATAAATTAATTTAAAGGATTGAAGACTGAGGGGCAATATTTAAGCGGATATATGGGGAAGGTAACTTTTAACCCACGAATTGAACAGGTTAAGATTATAGTGATCGGGGAAGCATCCTCTTGGGAATTGGTTCCACAAAGAAGTGGTTTATGGGAAAAATCTGCTCGGATGGAACTTACATTTAACCAATAGAAGGCAAAGGGAATGACGGTGTTTCGCTACAGTTTTGGGTTATATGACGTGTCTTAGCCGTGAACGTAAGAACTAGTGGAACTAAGGAATGTACTTTGAACACTTTTCATTAAAATATCGATAGAGCAGCGAGAGGCTTGTGACGTTTCGTCTGTGAGAAGGAAGCAGATGATAATCAAAGTTCTGTTTCCTTTATCCAATTGCTATGGCTTTTCTTTCACAATTATTTGTTCGCTACTGCTACTACCACTAATACTACTACCACTACTACTACTACCACTACTACTACTACTACCACTACTACTACTAGCTTTTTAGCTTTGAAAACATCCAGTTATTTTCTGATTCAAATGTCAGCTCCATTTTGTTTCAACTTTGGAGATGAATTGCTGCCAGTCTCTAATATAATCATCTGATTTCTCTAGCTTTGTTTTTACATGCTTGTTATCGCAGCCTTATGGCCTTATTACTTTCAAAGCAGTGATTTTCCTACGATCACCGAAGTTAAGCAACGTTCAGCCTGGTCAGTACCTAGATAGGTAACGGTCTGAGAAAACCAGCTTTAAACCTTTAAGCTTTATTTTCTACGTTCCACTACTTCTCTTACGTTTGATCTGCCTTGTGAGCATTAAATTCTCCGAGCCTTCTTTCCTCATTGTGTACCTGAAAACGTTCAGTAGATTACTTATTACTTTCCACTACTTTTCGACTTACGACCATATCATGTTGAAACACCGGTTCTCGTACAATCCCCGACGTTAAGCAACTTCGCGCCTGGTTTGTATCAAGATGGGTGATAACTCGGGAATGTCAGGTGTTGTAAGCTTGGATATGATGTGGTGTAATGGATAATGGCTCAGAATTGGAAATCGCATAGTCGAGTTCCAATTTCAGTCGGGTTTACTATATTCACTTACGTACAAATACCATTTGGGAAGGTATTAAGCCATTAGCTATGAGTTAATTAGTAGGACTTTTATCAGTAAATTATTATTATCGCAAAAAAATACTATCTAAAATATATTCTGGCTTTAAATAATCTGCAAAATGTTGATAAGCCGTAAAAAACTAATTAGTTTGTTATCGTAACATAATAAAACGGCATATTACGACCTAGATTTTTTTTCTGTGCAAATCCATCAAAATGGACAATATAGCAATTTTTAGTCTAAGCGAACAAATGACTTCCAAATACAGTCCGACCTCGGTTCTCGAACGTCTCACATGTCGAACTAATCGGTTTTTGAACAGAAAATTCAAGATTAAAACGCCTCGGATATCGAACAAAATTTCGGTTCTTGAACAACA